TGACTTTCGAGTTACACGGTATTTCGAGATCAGAATACACGGTACATACCGAAGATGACCCGTCTGACCCTGTACTCTCTTCCAGGTTCGCAATTAATTCTTGCACTGCCCTATGCATGATTTCTGATTTCCTCTCCATCTCATGAATACTGTTGAAAATATTTGGACCGCTCTCGACCTGACTTTCACGTTAGTGTGCGCTGCACAACCAAAGCCGGTTTATACCTTGAACGCTTCCAACGCTTCTTTCACTCCTGCACGACAATCCCCCAGTAGTTTATTCATCTCACTCTGTCGGAAGAGGTGTTTGATCTTGTATCGGTCTTGCTGCATTTCAACAAATGTGTGGATCTTGTGAAGTGTTCTGTAAATATTGATCAGCCCGGAGTCGAGAATTAAGATGGACTGAGAGGACTGGAACTTACTCGGTGAATTTTCCGATGTACATCAATGCTCCGGGTGGCAAGTTATCCCCGGCGTCCGAAGATATATGGAGATTGATAATAGCATAGACAAGCTGATGAATGCTTTCCAGGAGCTGGATACATTCTTCTTTGTGCCTCCTGATATTCTTTAAGTCAACATTAGATTGGCCGAAATCTCATTAGTAAAGCCAGCCATTACTCACCTGCCCCGCCGTAACGAGCGACAATACTGTGCCTGCAATTGCCGGCAAAAAAGGGGTGCCAAAGGACTGATTAAGTTCATTAAGGAGTGTCACGGCCAGCTTTAGACAGGCTGTAATGTTGCTCAGGTGGATTTCAGCAAGGCTCGCTTTGTGAGGCATCTTGGGAATGTCGAGAAAGAGTTCCGAGGCTCCAACTTCATATACACCTTGTAACCAATCCTGGCTTAATTACTAATGATTAGTTTATCCCTTGGGGCGTTCGGATTCCACGACCCTGGGTAACTTGAAGCCGTTCATGGTGAGATGAATATGGATCTGCTTCCGTGAAAGACTCCGATTAAATTCGTTGGGACTCTCTTGAGATCTCTTTCACAAGGGCTCTGTCAACAGCACCCATAGCGCAGGTGCCGTTCTAATCCAAGACGGTGGCACGGGACCGACGACAACGGCCCGGGCCCCGGGCCATCCGGAAAGCCCAATTTTGAACAGAGTCTGAATTGTCTAGAAAATGTACTGCAAGGTTTATAGAGTATGCGGGGCCTATTTCAAGTTGAGCCTATTAATGGCATTGATCGCCTGCCAATCACCTGCTAAAAGTTTGTTGCGTGGGTTTTCACCTCAACCTCGCTAATGATCAGCGGAGGATGTAGCGAAAGAGTAAACAAAAATCTAGCATCTGCGATGCAACGTGGGTGGGAGTGGAAGCCTTGGGCTCGCTGTCGAGGGCGGACCCCAGCCGCAGCACAAAACCCAAGGCTCCGGAGCGGAGAATGCCTGCGACAAGCCAGCCGTCAAAGCACGTTAAACACCCCCACAAACCAAGCATTAAGCAAAGCATTCGGGTTTGCTCAAAGCGGGACCAAGTTTAACTTGCGCAACGCATGCTTGTTGAAGTTGAACTCCCCATCCACGTCCATCATGTCCTCGGGCAAACATAGTGAACGTCCGCAGATAAATATCCTAGAAAACAATAATAAGTGCACAAATTGAATTGATAACATACCTCGAGTTTTCGATACAATGTTTGTTTATGGTCCATAGCTCACGGGTACCTGCACGCCAACATTGGACATCATCTGAATAAAAAACTCAACCCGTAACCAACGGGTGCAGTGTGGCTAGTGTGGTTAGTGTTCGAGACTATTCAAGCCTGCCCCAATTTCGACCATCGCCTCGCGCGGAATCCTCGTCAATTGACATTTCTAAATAAATTAGATCCTGCGGTCATTCAGACCTGCCCCGGCTGCGGCGTCACTGATATTCGACCAGTGCCCGCTCGGCGTCACTGTCAATCGACATGCCCAAATCAAAAACCCGCGGCCCTTCCGAGTTGCCCCGGGTGCGGCATCACTGATATTCAACCAGTGCCCGCTCGGCGTCGCCGTCAATCGACGTACCCGACTCGAAAACAGATCCCGCGGCCATTCAGGCCTGCCAGGGTCCGGTGTCACTAGTATTCGACCAGCGCCCGCTCGGCATCGTCGTCAATCGACGTACCCGACTCAAAAACAGATCCCGCGGCCATTCAGGCCTGCTGGGGTCGGACGCTACTGATATTCGACGAGCGCCCCTTCCGCGTCGCTGTCAATGGATGTGCCTATTCAAAAACAGATCCCGCGGCCATTCAGGCCTGCCCGGGTCCGGCGTCACTGGTATTCAACCAGCGGCCGCTCGGCGTCGCCGTCATTCGACATACCCAACTCGAAAACAGATCCCGCGGCCATTCAGGCCTGCCCGGGTCCGGTGTCACTAGTATTTGACCAGGGCCCCCTTGGCGTCACCGTCAATCGACATGCCCGAGTAAAACAGGTCCCGCAGACATCAAGCCTGCCCGGGTGTGGTGTTATTCTTCATGAATCGTCATTGTACTTCCCTGACTGCAATCCTGTATGTCTCAGCTCCAGCCAGATACCCCGAAAGAATTGGATTCCATTGTGCCACGAAACGGACTAGGCACGCTACTCCAACGTCCTGCAATGTCGGCCCAGAGACGAGTAAGAGGGTCCAGAGGTATCAAAAAAGTCAGCGATGCGCATGGCCCGTCGTGCGCACTGCGATCCTGAAGTCGTCGATGGTGTCGGGACTGAAAAGATCGCACCGCCACTTGCCGAGATCAGCTGACTCGGCAAGTACAGTGACGCAACTTGCCGCTTCTTGTTTAGCGAGGCCTATCTTGAGCTTTGAGTGCAGTTCGTGCCTCACAGCGCTTGTGCTCAAGGGCTACATCTTCTAGGCTCCCATTGCAGTTCCTCAAAAAGGCCGTAAATATTCAAGGGAGCTAATGCCATTTACAGCCGTTTTGGAAACTATAGAGGGGTTTCGTAAATTGTTGATGCTCGATTTGTGCTTACCACTGTTGACTGATTGGGCGCCCCACAACGACGTCATTGCTTAACCACCGCCGCAGGCATGCAGGACTTGAAGCAATCTGGTTTTCCTTCCTCAACCATATTGAAGCACTGCATACCATTGCCTCATGTAGAACACCAAATGAGACTAAGATTTAGACCAAGTCCGGATGTATTCAGAGCGTCGGCGTCGACAGCCGAAGATCAATCAGTAAATAATGGTAAGCAAAAATCGAGCATCAACGATTTACGAAACCCCTCTATAGTTTCCAAAACGGCTGTAAGGCTTGCTTCAGTTCAAGCTCTAGGGAAATCGGAGATCAACAGCCGCCACAGTACTTCCATCAAAATAATTTTGCAAAGGTGGCTTTCGACGATAGTAGGCTAGAAATGATAATTGAAAGGTTGAGCACAGAAAGAAAGGGAAAAGAAAAGCCCTCAGAATTAGCTCAGGCGTCCCCGGGAGTCAAACCCCGAACCCATTCGAACAGTAAAACGCCGGTCAGTGTATGTGTTACCATTACACCCAGGACACGACACCAGAGGTCCGAACTGATGGAAACAGATGTCTGTTGTAAATCTGCAGCTGTTCCCTTATTTACTTGGACACGGGTGGCTTTGGCAGATGTTAATGGTCGTTTCAGTGGCAGGAAACGGACCTGCCAAAAGGAAGTTTGAGTCGGCTCAGAGTGAAAGAAATATATTTTCAGCACAAAAGCAATTCTGGGTATGTCATGCGACTCGAGCCCCGGACCTAATTTCCAGTATCTATGAGAAGTACTGCTAGTAGATTGGTGTTACCGTACACCAAAGACAGTATCCAAAATGATGGAGACCATATCAATGCAGTGAACAATCGATATCAGTATCAATTGATGGGAAGACAAGGGACGGGATGATAGGTACGGATAATAATGGAAGGGTTGAGGAAATAAAAAAGAAAAGGGGGGAAAAAATTCAAGAAATTGTGAGGCACCCTCGAGGAGTCGAACCCCGGACCAATCAAGTGCTCATAGACTGTGTGTTACCGTTACACCAAGGACGCTACGTCGGTCGCTTGAAATGATGGTTGGAATGATGATTGTCTTTCTCTGCCTAAAGTCCCGAGAGACACCGTGAAGGTCGAATTGAATTGACGCAAATTGTGCTAACAAAGGTGAAGCAAGCAACTGGCTGCAGCGGAGGGAAGCCTGGGCAGAGAAATGAAAATGAAAAATGAAAAATGAAAAATGAAAAAAAAAAAAACAATTCTGCAGCGAATCAGGCGCCCTCGGGGAGTCGAACCCCGGACCAATCCGACAGTGTTATGGATCGTGTGTTACCGTTACACCAAGGACGCTACATCAGCCGTCCGAACTGATGGAAACAGATGTCTGCTGCTCAAATTCCGCATTTGAACTGTCCCCGAAAGAAGGAAGAAAAACGATGATAATCCAACAGATGCGCCGTCGGGAGTCAAACCCCGGACCCAATTCAAAATATATTCAAGCATCAAAAGGCGATTGTGTGTCCACACCACTTAAGGGTAAATATCCGTCCTTCAATCAACGGAGATCATCCCATCATGGTACTTCCGAACAATGGATATCAATACTGGTACGGATCGTCAAAAGGATTAGTGCAGATTAAAATGTTCACTGAGGTCAGGTCGCAAACAGGAGAAAAGTAATAATAATTCAAGTGCAAGTACCAGCGCTCGAATGAAAGAAGACAGAGAGAGAAAAAAACATTTCCCTCAACCACAGGCGTCCTCGGGGAGTCGAACCCCGGACCATTCGATATAGTTAAAAACCAAGCGGTGAATGTGTGTTACCGTTACACCAAGGACGCTATATCAATGACTCAAAATGATGAGATGACATATCTGTGTTCTTAATAAATTCCGCATCTTGCATGCTATGCTTCTCGCCCGGCACTGGCACAATGAAGTTGGGCATGGCAAGGGGAATGCTGGGTCTCGTCACAGCTTGAAAGAAACGAAAGAACGAGAGCAAAAAAAAAAAAAAGCGATGGGCTCGTGTATATGCGACCTCGGGGACTCGAACCCCGGACCCAATCCTAAACCTGAAATTCTTCTACCCAGAAGTAGATTGTGTGCTACCGCAACACCAAGGACGCAATATCAGCCTCTCAAATGATAGACACCACCTTGTGCCTCTGAGCCTCAATATCAGTATCAAGCAAGAGTTGTTAGTGCAGATAAATAAATGAAAAGCTTGGCTGGGAGGAACAAAAGCTTGCCATTCAGAATAATGAAAACATACATACCAAGTGTCCTCGAAAGAAACAACTTGAAAGAAAAAAAGAAAGAAAGAAAGAAAGAAAGAAAAAAAGTTCTACTAAAACTACCAGGCGACCTCGGGGAGTCGAACCCCGGACCATTCGATATAGTTAAAAACCAAGCGGTGAATGTGTGTTACCATTACACCAAGGACGCTATATCAAAGCCTCAAAATGATAGGTCAAACCGATGTTAATGTCATTGGGGTTATTCGGGAGGGAGGAATTCGAACTCGAATGAAGCAAGTTGAAGAGGCTAATGTCGGAGCTCAAGACCACGCAAAAGAAAAGGATTTCACTGTCAATGGTGACAGGTTTAACTTGGACCCGGTGGTGCTTCGGAAACCACAGCCCGAAAGAAGAAGCAGAAGCAAAAATTGTCAAGTATTCGGAAATGCGCCCTCGGGAGTCGAACCCGGACCCAACCTCACATATTTATCACGCAAAGAAGTAGATTGTGTGTTACCGCTACACCAAGGACGCGATGCCATTTTGTCATCCTGTTCACCTGTCAGGTCTCATTATCTCATTGTCTCATTGTCTCATTTGTGTGAGTTGCCTAGGCCTGCTCAGGATGTCTGATCATGAGATGAAGATACTTGCAGATAAAGTTTAAAAGAGGCGTGCAAAGAAGCGCCGGTCGGTCAGAGTAAAATAAACAGAAAGAGAAAGAATGAGAGCCAAAAACGTCTGGTCAAAACGGGCATGCGCACTCGGGATCCGAACCCGGACCCAATCTCATATATCCGTCACGCAGAGAAGTAGACTGTGTGTTACCGCTACACCAAGGGCGCGATGGCACTTTGGTCACTTGGTCACTCGGTCACTTGTCGGGTCTCCTGATCGTCTCTCTCAGTTGCTTCGAGTAGTTCACTATTATAGAGAGATAGGACGCCGACATAACACAAAATAGGACGCCGACATAACACATAACATAACAGAAGAGCAACGTAATCCCACTGCAGCTGCGCTGCGCTCGCCGTCGCTCGACAAAATAATATATTCGCACAGGGCGCGAAGACGCCGATCAGGGTGCGGCGCGCCGGTAACCGTACATACTGCCTTATACTGCAAGACAAGAACGCCTCCGTATCGATCTGAGCGCATAGATGTCGGGACATCCCGTATCCCATTAGTACTATCCCACATCGGACCCCGACAAACGCGGCAAGGCGGGCGCGTGGCGATAGAGTTTGCGCGCGAGGCGGGGAGTGTGATGTATATCATTGAATTGAATTGGCGGTTGGCGCCGAGCGGGGAGTACAGTGTATACGTATACGTAAACAGGGCCGACAAGTGCCGACGAGACAAGACGCGTACATACGCCCCTTGTCGTAACTCGCTGGTTCGTACATAACCCGCTGTGGCTGACGGCGCGAGCGACGATTGGTGAAACGGTAACGTGGCACCCCAAGCGTGACCAAGCAGGGGAGAAGAACCGTGGGGCGTGGGCATGGGCACCGTGATTCGTGACGGAGGCGCAACGGCGAACCATCAGCCGCGAAGGCGGGGCTGGATGGTGCATCAGAAGTCGTCGGGGACGGACGCGATTGCATCAGATTGGGAATTGAAGGAGCGGAGGGACCCCGGGGAGCGCGGCGCTTCTGCGCCTGATGGCGATGGAACGTGTCAACGGTGCACCAATTTTGAATGACGCAGAAGAGAGAGGAGAGAGCGCTGGGGTGGGAGGTACTAGTAGGAGGGTGTTGCGAAGAGGCTGCGATCGTCGTGGCGGTGCCTGTGCGAGACGGCAATCAAACGGCAATCCAAATTGGTCGTCACTAATGACTGTCTTCAACACTGTCCTTGCTGCCGCTGTGAGGTTTGTTCTCTAGGCCTCAGGCCTCGTGCGCAACCGCCGCCACATCGTCGTGAAGTCGATGCTTCTACTCCCCTCTGCTCGGATGGGGCTCAGCGTCGCCGCGACTCGGAGAAGAATTGCGCGTCGCAACTAAAGTCTAAATCCCAACACCGGTTGGCGTTCTCTTGGCCAAAAACAAGGACGCTCATGGATATTGCATTAGTGCTGGCGGACGAGCGGACGAAGGCGGCGTCACACGGTGCTGGAAAGCGTGAATAAGCACTTCACCACCCATCCCGCCGAACGCGTCATTGAAAAACATAAGGCCCTTTTCGCTCGTGCACAGCGTGGACGCCATGCCGCTGCTCCCAATGCTCCTGTACCTGCGAATGACCCCCCTCAGCTGTCTATATCTTTGTCACCGCGCATTCGTGCCATGCTGGATTCCGGCCGCAGCTCAAGCTACTCAACCTTTCGCTTCCTGTATATTCATATCCGATTCTTCGCACGGCATTACAAGGAGCTGTATAAGCTGGTCAAAGTCGACAATCATCGCTCGGTTGCCGCCATCGTCCTTAACTCGTATGACCTGGATCGATTCCCGGGCATATAATCCTTCAACATGCATCCCGCCCCCTGCCCCTTCTCTGCTCCTAATAGTGCTTTGAACATTCCATCCCCTTGCCCGCCTCGTTTATCACGGTCCATCCGTCCACAGCTGGGAAAGCAGGTATCATGTTGATCATGTTCGTGTCATCGTTGATGATGTCTTACTGAAGGATGCGACGAATATTTGCCAACGACAACAATCCTCCTAATAACTTGTACTGCTCCGCAACGATATCGTTCCATTGGACCGAATTGTCTTTCGTCCTTTCTGGGTTGCTTTATCTGAACCAGGCTTGCCAGGGACGTAACAGAACTTGGTCATTGAAATCCTGGTCGGCGACGATGATGCTGTTCGGGCCATCGAAGTAATTCTTGTCAGCGGTTTCTTGACCTTCTCGTCTAATACTGATTCGATCGAGTGTTTCTGAAATGGAGTTCAGAAGATTCTCGATTTCTTCGCCGTCCAGAGAACGTAGGGATGCTCGACGTTTCAGCGAATGGTTTGTATAGTTCGTTGTACAGGCCATTTGTCTCCTGGGGAAGCTTTTAAGACGCAAAGCCCTATTCATTATTTTCCTTCCGGCAAACATGCGATCTTACATTCGATGTCTTGAAGAATTCTCGACCCTTTATTCAAACATCTAGGGTACGGGTCGACCTGTGAAATTTTGAGTTGCGCCACATGATAAGGTGGTGTACCATACAAATGAGCTCAACTTACTGCTCGAATGTCGGTTGGCAGGGCCGCCACATCAATGGCAGAGATGAGGATGGGTAAGATAGTGCGGAAGTGTGCATTTCAATGGCAAGTATACGACCAGCGTATATGCTAACCAACCTGGGTTATCGATTGAGTGATCAGCGGGAAGCAAAGTTCATCGATAGTGCTGTGACAAAAATATAATTCCGAATATTATAACACAACAACTCATTTCCCCATAGCAGCATACTTCGGTGGCGGCTCCTCCACCTCCCCAACCAGCCTTGACCCCCGCACCGACATCACGCTATACGGGTCCGTGCCACCTGCGAGCGAACTTTCGCTCGGGCTCGTCGGGATGAGCGTCCCGCTGGCGGGCGACGGCGGCCGCCTCGGCAGCGGTCGGCGCTTCTCCGGGGGATATGATACCGGCGCGGGGCGAGGATTGTTCGGATGGGCAACGGAGCGGTCGCTCGGATGCGCGAAGGAGGGATCGTTCAGGGCGTGCGTTCCGTCGGAGGTGCCGGCGGTAGCAGATACGAACGCAGGATTGACGAACGGCTGCATCGATGAGACAGATGGCGGCGGTGCCGGTGGGCGTTGGCGCCAAGAGAGCGGTCGCCCTTGCGCGTGGCGGCGGCGCATGATGATGTAGGTGATAATGACAAGAGCGAGGAAGAAGAGGCCTGCGACAACGATACCCGCAATTGTTGAGGAAGGCATTGATGTGGACCCGGATGCGGATCCGGATGCAGAAGGCGTGGTGGAGGTGGTAGTGGTATTTACGGTGGGGGCGCTTAAGTAGGTAGCGCTCAGCAGGGCGGCAAGCGCGTTAGTTTGGTTGTCCAATGCGAACGAGGAACTCGGCGGACCAATCCATTGGTTCGCATAAACATTGTCGCCGTTCGTTGCGAAGTCCATGACTGCGTTAAACTACCGTCTCTGGAGTCAGCAGCGAGAACATAAAGTAGAGCAAACGAAGAACACCTGAACACCGAGATAGTCATGCAAGTTTGCATGAATGTCTGGGGAGGTAACATTGCGCACATACGCAGCCGCAAGCGCGCGAATAAGGATAGAATCGCCGTCTTTACCAGCTACGGACAAACTCAACTCTCAGTAACGGCAAACCACATAGTGCACTGACCTCCATTGGCTATGATCCCACCAGATGTCTGCCAACCCGGATGAGCCAGCACAGCCGTGATGAGATTGTCCAGCCTATTATCTTGAGTTTCCTGTCTTCCAAAATAAATACTCTCGGAAACTCACGTAGTCTGTGTCGTCGCATCCTGCGTGATCGACACGAGCACCGCCAACCCCTCAATGAACAGCCCAGAATTGAACGAATTGACGGCGTCGTTGAGGACTTTGCACGAATCGTTTTGGCTTGCAGATATGCTTTGTAAGACCAAGCTGTCGTTATTATACAGTTGCGTTTGGATGAATGCGGCGGACTCCTTCGCGGCGTCGAGGTATTTCGGGTCGGGTGTTGCCTCTGTTGCCTCTGCTAATAATGCGGATAACCTGAGGCAGAGAAGTTGCAGTGGAGATGCTGTCTGTGAATTAGGAATCCACATACAGCATAAAATATCTATGTCAATCGTCAGAGATAGTTGAAAACTGTGAGAAGGGAGACTCACCCGGTGGACATTGCAGTTACACTGGGGTCGGACGGCGTAGTAGTCTGATACCTAGTCATCAGCGTGCTCGGATGTTTCATCGAACTGTCACTCACTAAAAATGTCCCGCCCGCCATAGTGGCTATCGGCAGCAATAAAAAGGCTAAGCTAAAAACAAATATTTTCAAGGTCTCATACGCACCACCGTTACTGCAAGACTCCTCCACCACGAAATTCTTCAGAGCCAAATTTCCGCCCGTCGACGATAGTGTGTACATCCGCCCAAAAGACCACGACTGAATTGCGAATTGCAGAAACACTTGGTTCTGGTACGCCATATACGCTCGGACCGCGGCGTATCCATAAGTCCTGGAAAAAGCTCTCAGCAAGCGATATGCACCGCAAACGAGCAGACTTGCAAGCCAAAATTCAACTATGCAACGAAGTCACGAAACAATCAATAAATATTGACGGGAGGAGATCATGGACTGACACTGCGGCGGTCGAGTGTCAGGATAAATATACGAATCTGATGGAGCACGGCTGCACTCACTGTGTATCATTAAAGTTCGTCCGGGTCTGCTGCGTCGCGGAGAATTCCTGCTGCAACATATCCTCATATCGCGTCTGATTCACGATTGCGTCGAACTCCGCCATCTCTTCGTACAGCGTGCCGAAGACTTCGTACGTTTGACCTGCGATAATTGTTTTTCGATATTATTTGAGGTCGCGCGGTGAGGGGAAAGAATGC